AGGGATCCAAGGCAATTCACACTGGATATGCGCTAACAAATCGCGGGACAATTGCTAGTTTAGTTAGTACATCCAAACCGGCAAAAGCGTTCGGTCTAATTCGAGCTTTGAAGCGACAGCACGATCTGCCCCCGACAGTCATCAATAGTTCGAGCGACCGGCCCCAGGGACTTAAACCTCAATGGGTAAGGGCTGGAGTAATCCATGACGGATGGATCATGCGGCTTGCGGATGGGACGCGTACGGAAAGATACTAGACTATGCACTGCAGCTTAGTCGTTGGCATATTGATAGTCGATGATAGTCCCCGCAATTCCTCATGGCACTAGTAGTAGTAGCTAAGGTCAGTGAACCTGCTTCTCCGTGTCACCCGAATCGCCCATCGAGGTCTGACAATTGCGGCAATACTGTGCATACCATTGTACCGTCTAAGCGTCTGGAAAGGGACACATCGTGGTCTGCACGGGAGGAAGAGACTCAACAATGCCGTGGAAAGGGAATGATGGAAATGCAAATGGATGGAACTGGTACTGCATGGTACATTGCAGCTTGTTGAGTTAGTCTAGTCCCGAGTCCCTTGTAAGTTGTGAGTCCAAAGCAATTGAGTCGACAGTCACGGGTCCACGGTCGATCAGGCTTTTGCCCAAAGAAGTCTAGCGCAGTCAGGAGAACGACGAACCGTTTTGGGAAACACGCAGCGCCCCTCACAGGGTAACGATTGGCAGGCGCGGGCGGCGGTATTTGTCAACCGGTTCGAGGCTCAAACAGACTATCACTTTGACTACTGACGCCGCACTGCGAACTAACTCGACTCTAATAATAAGACCGATGCTATAACTCATCCTGGATATCCCCGAATATCGAGGGGATCCTTCTTCCTTGTTTGACCCACGGTTATGCAATATCTAAGCTCTCTGCTTTACTGTCCTCCCGGTATGACCATGTTCTGTCGCGATCAATACTATTGTACATCGCCATCTCCCTTGTCCCGTGGCGCATCCAATATCCCGTATCGAAGATCGGATAGCATGGAACGGTGCTCGGAAAGAGAACTGGAAGCCTAACGATAGTCACGTCAACAAAGGGGAACAACCGTGGGTGGTCATCGCTCCATGATACCATATTGGTAGCACATCCGTGATCCTACAGCTTTTCATAGTGCATAGTCCGGCTACAAACCGATATCAAGTAAATTTTCCGAGAAAAGGGTCTTTCTGAGGAAGAGTCCAAGCTAGTGATATCGACACGAGGGCAACTGTGCACGGTAGACGTCCGATAGCCACATTAACGGTACGGCCGGAGGCTTTTGCGGCTAGACTGCTTCATTGCCACGCCATCATGGTTCTCGATAGTGCCGAGCTCCTTGATAGACTCGCTTCTCGATTCATCTTTCTACATGGAGATATTTTCGCTGGTTAAGTCGCTTAACACGTTGTTGGTAGCCACCTCATGAACATCCGTCCACCGTGCCCGACATGAGGATCCACCGAGTGTGGCTCTCGCAGCAATGAACACAGTAGCGTGTACCTGAGCAATAGAGGCAACAGTTGTTCTCGGAACATATGTTCCCAAGTGTGGGTTCTTCTATACATCTATAAGGTCACGAAGGCTAGGAAGCTTACTATCCGACGACCTGAAGAGGGCTGGCCCAGGATGCATACATTCAACCGCATTGAAGTTCTAACACTGGACTGCCACGGGCCTCGGCAGCATCGCGCCAAGGTAGATGATGAGCGTCCGGGCAGTGTTATGCCTGGAAGCGCTCGTTGCGACGGAGATCGAAAAGTCGCCCTTAGGGGGGAGAGATACACACGGCCACTACTATCTAGAAAATTCCCGTTCTGCACCGGCCGATCTCGTTTAACGACGTCTCCCGGTGCTTCGGAAATCAGGAACCAATAGGCATTGGGTAATCCCCGGCGCCACGAATCAACGGTCTTTGGGCGCTCGCATACCTTACAACCGTGGTCTACGGGTGATACTAGGTGTCCCTTTGCCATATCCTGCTGCTCGCGGGCTTGACCAATGGGCAACACTTGTTTCCTCGATAGCGTCTCATGCACATGAGGTGACTCGTGGGCAAGCGTACTTACTGTACTACCCCCATTGAACGCTGACATGCTAGCAACATTCATTTGAACCTGTGAACTGGGCAATGTATCAGTACCAGAGGTTAGAGCGCGGCTCACCTTTGCCTTTGCAGAGGTCGCTTTGGGAAAGGTCACTTAATCCGCACCGACCTGGGACCCATACATGATCACTGCATCAATGGTATTGTCGTTGGTCAGAACGGTCTGCAGGGAGTGCTAAATGCATCAGCAACCACTGTATGACGAACGTTAAGCCCGCGGTCTGCAATCTGCACTACGGGATGACCAGTCATCTGCATGGGGCAACTCAGATGGCGGAGCCCGCGATAGGCATTTCGCTTAATAGAGAGTCGGTGAGGACGTGACAAGTCTCTTCACAGACGCTCAAGCGGCTTCCATGATTTCCCCCTCGATTCACCATCTTTTTCCGTCTCCTCCAAGACACCCGGTGAAAAAGGAACCGTAACCCTACTCCGGGACGGTCCGAGTATGATGAAGCCCATAATATGAACATTCCGAATATGGAAGACAAGCCGTACAATAATTGATCATGGAGAAAATTATTTATCTACGAACTTGCATGGTCTCACAGGAATTGGTGTCTCCATGATCCCGTGTATTATCTACGGAAAAAGGTGGTGTCAGATTCGTCGTTGCTTACAGTGAGTAATCTTCCAAATCCGTCATCCCCATTCTGCTGCTCAAGACAAGGTCTAAGAAATGATACTCTAAGACCGATGCACGCTGCTCAAGTTGGGACTATAGATTGAAGCTTCACAGAGTCACAGTGCCATCAGTTCCGTATCTCCTGCCGATTTGTTGCTGATGCGACTGCAACGAGGCCTGCATCCAAGGCACAGCACTTGGTGCGCACAGAAACTTTCTCTGTTGCAACTCATCGGACTGGGTGGACTACCGGCCGAATTTACACGGGCGTTGTGTTGGTATGCAGCGGTGATCAGTGCATGATCGTCTGTTCTGTGGAGGGTAAGCTTGAATCCAGCACTAATTTTTGCCTAGTATTCATTACAGCCGGACTTGGCAATGCAGTGTTACCTTCCTAGTGGATGTGCATGCTGGGGAGTGAGGAGCTCTCTCTTTCCCTGCCTATGCTATCGAGGAAATGGCTTGTGAATGTCTCTGTCTATTGAACATGACGCTTCAAGGAGGGAACGTGTACCGAAGGACGAGTAGACACAATACTCTTAGAGTCTCTGTTGTAAAACAGTGACTTGAATGCGCTTGGCCATGGGGCATTGCTGGCACTGTGCCAGTTCTCGGTGTTTTCGAGTTTCCTGGGTACATTTGCTTCAATCTTCCTACGGATCTACGGGACAAAGACATGTCGGTGGTCAGCAGGACCTTGAACAAGGACTCTCGGCTCCGATGGACTCTGACGCATACTGGCGGCCGGCTACGCCTTTGCTGTTGCTGGTGAATCGGCGCGAACTCTGACCTGCCGACCATGCGCGGTGTATACAGTCGGGCAGCCTACAGTACCGCGATCAATGTCACGGTAGATCATCTGTTGTGGTACCATGGAGAGTTTCTTGGGCCCGCAGGACCACCGGGTGACTCTATCGGCGAGGACTCTGGTGGAGGGGACGACAACGAGGTCGATTCTCCTACCGTGTCGAGGCCGACTCTTTTACTTCGTAGCATGCATCTTCTCCGACGCATGCAATTGGCCTGGATCTTGGATTAAGTGCCGACCTTGTCTTGCCTTTGCTTGCCAACACGGACCTGTGAAGCGGTATTTGCAAGACACAAGGTTTGGCGTACGGTATCGACCTGTATATCGTGGCTACCTTACTCGAGATGAGGCGTGCCGCTCTGCTTCTGTTGGTCATTCAGATTGTAGTAGGGTCATTACTATGGTAGGTCATTACTGTGGTAGGTCATTACTGTGGTAGGTCATTACTGTGGTAGGTCATTGCTGTGATAGGGTCATTGCTGCCTGCGCTGATGGATGTAGGGTTGGCTGTCACCAGGCCGCTGTGATGACGAGCTCCTTGAGGCACCATTTCGTCAGCGATTGATGCTAGGGGTAGGAAGATACGATGTAGGCATCGATCATCGCAGTAATCACGTCAGAACAATTGCGAACAATTGCTCACAAAGATGTATGTCGAGAAATTCTCTGAAGGGCTGGGACTTTTTTTAAAGAGCAAAAAGAGATGACCAGACTGGGGCTCGATCCCAGGACCTTATCGGTGTTAACGATACGTGATAACCAACTACACCATCCGGCCAATTCATGCTCAAAGTGTTGCAATAAGGCAATATGTACTTAATCAAAAGATTCCCACTATCTCAACCATAAGATACCTGGTCAGTCTATCAATTGCAACCGCCTTGTTCAGGCGGCATTGCTAGGTGCAAGTATGAAGCTGCAACCTCTTATCGAATCTTCTCTAGCGTGCACGGGCCTAGATCACCATCTCAACCATCATCTCACCACAATCTCTGGATCTACCTTAACTCAACCATGGTAGCCGTCAACCGATGAAACTATATTTGCCAATCTGCGGAGAACCTCGGCTCAAATGGCCGAGACTACTTACTCCGTACTCTCTAGCAGGATATCCCAGCCAGCCACGGTAGCTTCCATCAACAGGAACTCGTATCAATCTTTCGACCTCGAAGAAAACCAGCTCCGCAGGCCCCAATGGACCCATCTACCAGCTGCGTACCAGCTGAGCACCCCACCCGCCGACCTGACCACATTCCCTTACCAAAATATACACAACTCAGTGTCCCGACCCACCACAAACTCGAAGCATCCCACAAGGTAGGTCGATCCAGGACAAAGCACCAGACACGATACTACCCGTGGCATGACCTGCAGGCCAGCCAGGGGAGTCTCGCCACCAGGAGCAAAAAACAACCGCCAAGCAAGTTAAACGTTAGACTTATCTTTAAGGCGATTTCTTGATGTCAGCTGAGTGAGCACTAGGCCTAAGCCTGGCCTAAGCCTCACTGGCCCCCCCGCCGATGACTGGAAACTAATCCGACACGATGCAGGATGCATTCCATCACTCAGCTCAGCTCAGCTCAGCTACCTATATTAACCAGTCATCCCCGGGTTCTCAGCCTCTCTTCCTCCAGAATTCACACACTACAACCTAAGATCACAACAGACACAATGGTCCAACCTTTGGAGATCCGGTTCCTCGGTGAGTAGCCCCCTCCTCGCCCGTCGGGCTATACTCCGCGAGAGATCCACGAAACTAACGGCGACGGATAGCAACCGACCCCAACGCATGGAGTGTACGCTGGCGCCCTTTTTTTTTATTTTTTTTCCACACCCTAGAATGCACCCGATGCACCCTTCAAAACTAACAGAGAATAGATAATCACCATCGCCGAAGAACTCGCAATCCCATACACAATCCACCCCTACCAAATCCCCCAATCTCGCTCACCAAGCATCATCCCATCGACCCAAGAACTCCCAAGCAAGTACCCTTCGGCAATCCTACGCTACCCTACCCCAGATAACCCACCCGTGATTCCCTCCCCAAACCCCCCCCCCAGAACCCCACCCCCAATAACAACAACTAACAAATTATGAAAAATAGCCCTCACAGACCCCAACACAAGAACCGCCCTCTTCCACGCCAACCCGATCATACAATACCTCGTCGACCACTACGACCACACAAATGCTCTGAGCACTATTGCTACCACCACGGAGAAACACCTTCTAAACCAATGGCTGCATCTCCAGACGACGCTGAGCGCCAGCGCCGGCCCCAACTCCCAAACCCACAACGTCCTGGCGACGCTGAACACCGCCCTGACGAATCAGCCCTGGCTCCTGGGCGAGCGCTGCAGCTACGCTGATTTGGCGTTTCTACCGGGTCTTCACGGTCTTGCTTCTTCTTCCGGGGATGATGGCCTGGGATTGGAGCTGATGCGGGCGTATCCGTTTGTCGTGGCGTGGGTAGGGAGGATGGAGAGGAGGGGGGCGTGGGGGAGGGTTCTTGCTGTACGGGAGGGGGTGTTGCGGGATGAAGAAGAGGAAGGGTTGTTAGATGGGGAGAGTGAGTGGGAGGAAATTGAGGGGAGTTCTGTTGCTGTGGACCGCGCCGAGGAGGATGAGGGGGGGCTGAGTGTTCAAGCTGTGGTTGTTGAGGCTGCGGTGAGGACGGATCAGGTCCATGACGATGATGACGACGAGGAGGAGAGAGAAGGGATGATGCCATGCGCAGCTGGATTTGCGCAGCAGAGAGCATCCACAGCTCGCCAGGTGCTGGGCTACGAGCACCGCGACGATGACAACGACGACGATGAGAGGGAGGGCCTTCTCCCGTGTGCGGCTTTTATGTTGCATGCGCATGCTCACGCAATCCCGAGTCGAACGAGGAGCGACGAGGACGAAGACAGAGAAGGAATCCCCCCGTGCGGCGCCTTTGTCGCGCACGCGAAGCACCCATCGAATGCCACGACAGTCGTCGAGGAGGACTGTGATGACGATGAGAGGGAGGGATTCCTCCCGTGCGGTGCCTTTGGGGCTCACGCGCAGCATGCACCCTCTTCCACTGCCGCAGAGGTCGACGGTGCCGATGACGATGACGATGACGATGACGATGAAAGAGAGAGCATGCTGCCCTGCACTTTGATCGGACTCCATTCAGCGCAGCTACCCCCGAAGACGACAGTGGTCGAAAGTGAGAGTGATAGCGACGACGAGAAGGAGGGCATTCTCCCGTGCGGTGCCTTTGGGGCTCACGCGCAGCACGCACCCTCTACCACTACCCCAGAGGTCGAGGCCGAGGATGATGACGATGAAAGAGAGGGCATTCTCCCGTGCGGTGCATTCAGCGCCCACGCGCAGCATGCACCCTCCACCGTCGAAGCCGAGATCAACAATGACGATGACGCCGACGAGAAAGAAGGCATGCTCCCCTGCGCCGGGATCGGGATGCCGACGCCACACGCAACATGCACTGCCGAGGAGGATCAAATCGAGCGCGAGGGCATGCCTCCCTGCTCTCTGATGGGGATGGTATACTAAGCCAGCCATAAAGCGAGACAGTTAACTCATCCGCGCTGAACAGATTGCTCCAGCCAGCGCGACCATAATAATATAATGCGAACACGATCTCATTCCCACTCGTATCATTGAAGTAAGGTATCTACATGCAACAAGAACAAACAAACAAACAGATTTTGATGGTAAACCGTCCCGCACGAAATGGTATATACAAGTAGAAAGTCAAACCCCCACATCTCCACCAGAAAAAACTAAGCGAAGCATCACCTCTTCCGCGACGGCCTGGCATTCTTCTCCATGCGCTTCTGCTTCAGCTTCCTCGCGAGACGAATATCATCCGTGCCGCGAATCTCACTCTTGCCGCCCGCGGCAGCACCACCGAATTTATTGAACTGCCGCTCCTTGGCGGCATCGTTCTTCTTCTTCATCTTCTCGTAATCCCCGCGTAAGGGGTCGGCGCGCTTGGGCGCCCGCTCCTGCCGATGCCGGAAGCGCTTGCCGCCGCCGCCGTGACGGGCGGCAGCATCCAGATCCGCGGACATGCCGGGGGTCTCGGCCTCACCGACGCGGGGCATGCGGCCGAGGCGCTTGCCCTTCTTCCAGGCGTCGAAGCGGCCGCTGCGGAAGGAGGCGGCGATCTTGGCGCCGCTCTCGCCGCGCACGAGGCGGGTGCCCTTGGAGCCGTCCTCGTCGTTCTGGCGGGCGACGTACTTCTTGTGCCGCTTGTCCCAGCGCATCATGGTGCGGGGCTCGCCGAACCCGCGGCTGCCCTCGTCGCCGAGCAGGTCCATGGCGGCGTCGCGCGACGCCTGCGCGAAGTTAGCGTTCGTGCCGGAGTGCACCCCGTACGCGCGGTCCTCGGCCAGGTTGATGTTGGTGGGGGTGTAGGACATGAAGTAGTCGGGGTTCTGGAAGGAGGCTGCATTCTTGTCCTTGTGGTCCTTGCTGTCCTTGTTGCTGCTGCCGTAGGCGGAGAAGGTGACTTCGAGGTCGGATTCGGACGCCATGGACATGTTGTCGGGGATGCCGGTGGCTTCATCTTCGTCGTCGTCGAAGGCGCCGTCGGCGACGGCGGCCTCGTCGTTGTCGCTGCCCGCACCTGCAGCTCCGCCGGTGACGGCATCCTCGACGAACTCGGACTGCTCCTCGGCTTGCGCCTGGCGCTTCTTCTTCGAGTCGAGCGTCGTGCGCACGCGGCGGATGGTGCTGAGGGCTTCCTCGTTCTCGGGCTTGCCGCTGCGGCGGTTGTTCACCTCAAAGATCGTCTCCGTGGGCCGGTAGCCGCCGATGCGGGCTAGCATCTTCTCGCGCTCGGCTTCCAGCTGCGAGGTCTCGTCGCTGAAAAGCGGGTGGGTGGCTGCCCAGTTGTCCGAGGCGACCACCTGCTTGGCGCGCTTGGCGCTCTCCAGGGCGGCGGCGTTGCGCGTGCGCATGTACAGCTTCTCACCCTTGGCCGCGACCGCGCGCTGGTTGGCGATGTCGGTGGAGTCCTCGACCACCTTGGCGGCCCACTCGCAGTTCTGGGACAGCCCGTCCCGGGGCAGGCTGCCGACGACCACGTCCTCGGCGTAGTTGACCTGGTCCCCGAACTCGCGGCCCAGCACGAGCCTCCGACCGAGGAAGAGCTGCAGGTCCAACAGATAGGGGGCGTCCTGGTCCCGGACCAGACTGTAACTCCAACCCGTGCGGCCGGCACGGGCAGTACGACCGACACGGTGGACGAAGATCTTGGCCTGCGAGGGGAAGTCGTAGTTGATGACGTTGGCGAGGATGGGGATATCGATACCGCGGGCGGCGACGTCGGTGACGACGAGAATATTCGAAATGCCCGACCGGAAGTTCTGGACCTGGATCTTACGGGCGGTCTGGTCGAGGGAACCGTAGACGTAGGAGGTGGCGAAGCCGGCCTCGCAGAGGAGCGAGTACAGGAAATCGACGTGGTGTTTGGTGGCGGCGAAGACGATGGTCGAGTGTTTGGTGGGGGATTCCCTCGTGTTGATGGCTTTATCCATCGCCGATCGCTTGCGCTTGCGGTCCTTGAAGGGCTTCTTCTCGTCCTCCTTCTGGCGCCGGGCCGCCTCGGTGGGGCCCGTGGGCATCTTGATCACCTCGTGCAGGATGTAGAGCAACGCACCCTCCTTGTCGCCGGACTTGACGGAGAAGAACACATTCTGCAGATCCGGCGAGATCTTGCTCTCGGTGTCCAGACGGATGAGGGTCGGGTCCTGCAGACCGGCGCGGGCGAACTCGACCAGCGACTTGGGCAGGGTGGCCGAGAACAGCAGGGTCTGGCGGTTCTGGGGCAGGCCGTGCAGAATCTCGGTCAGCTGGGCGGCGAAGCCCATCTCGAAGAGACGATCGGCCTCGTCGAAGACCACGTAGCGGATACTCGACATGTCCAGGTTCATCTCGACCTTCAGGTGCAGGAACCGACCGGGGGTGGCGATGACGATGTCCGGGTTGCCGGCCATCATGGAGAACTGCTCCTCGAGGCTGTCACCACCGACCAGCAGCACGGACTTGAGGTCGGTGCCCTTGCCGAGCTCCTTGACGACCTTCAGGGTCTGCAGCGCCAGCTCACGCGAGGGCGACATGATCAGCGCGCGGGAGCCGACCATGGTGCTGTGGCTCTTGAGCTTCTCGATCATGGGGATCACGAAGGCAGCCGTCTTGCCGGAACCCGTGCGCGCCATGCCCACCACGTCCTGGTCGTCCATGATGACGGGGATCGTCTTGCGCTGGATGGGGGTCGGCACCGAGAATCCTTTCCGGGTGATCGCCTTCAGCAGGTTCGCATTCAGCCCCATCGCCTGGAAACCGCCGCCCTTCTTGACCGTGCGGCCCTTGAGGTTCGAGCCCTTCCGGTTGGCCGACGCCTGTCTCTCCGCGATGAAAGCCTCGTCATCTTCGCCGTCGTCATCGTCGTGGGTGCCGCCTAGGAAATCCAGTTGCTGCGGCGCGGCCGCCTTCGGGGGTTGGCGCTTGGCCTTCTTGTGCGGGACTTGCTCGATCTCGGAATCGCTATCATGCTGGAACAGCGCATTGGTGATGTCGAATTCATTCTCCGACAGAGCGGGGGAAGCAGCGCGAGGGGCCATTTTTTGTCTTGTCACCGCGCGCCTGTATGCGGTTCGGCCTGAGCTGTGTCTCGATCAAACATATTTTTTTTTTTCTGGCTGACCGGGGAAAATGTCCAAGGCGGTGAAGCGGGCGGGATCAAGCAGCCACGGAACAAACCAGCCAAACAATGCAAAGACGGCAAACTCCCGCCGCGACGCGTCCTCGAACACGTCCCGAAGCGGTAAAATGCCATGAACACTTCCATCGTTTCAGTGCAGTGAATAAACGTCCATCCCAACTTGCAATTTTTAAAGATACCCCCCAAGAAACACACTATATAATGGGTAAGCTTACACCTACGACCTCTGCACTTTCTGCACCCACCACTCTTTCCTCTCTACCACACTTCCCAGCTTTCCTTCGCTGCCGCGGCGGCACTCAGCTAACAATTTTCGTTCGGTATCTCAGATAGCGGCTACAACAATTACAACACCAGCTACGGAGGTAGCGGCGGCGGCGGAGGCGGAGGCTTCATGCCCGGCGAGATGAACAACAGTCCTTCTGGCGGAAAGGTAAAGCCTACACTGCGCCCTTACACCTTACACATTTAGACCATTACACTCTTGCTTCTGATGGCAGCAAAAAAAAAAAAAAAAAAAAAAAAAAAAAAAAAAAAAAAAAAAAAAAAAAAAAAAAAAAAAAAAAAAAAATAACTCCTCCCCAAAAACAGAGTGACTACAACAACGCCACTCTCCGCCCGATAACGATCAAACAAGCGCTGGACGCGACCCAACCGTACCCGGAAGCCGGCTACCAGATCGACTCGGCCGAGGCGGCGAGCGTGTGCTTCATCGGGCAGGTGCGGAACATCAGCTCGCAGAGCACGAACGTGACGTACAAGATCGACGACGGCACCGGGGAGATCGAAGTGAAGCAGTGGATCGACTCGTCGTCGGGGGCCGGGGACAGCATGGAGACGGACGAGCACACCAACAACAAACCCTCCGGCCCCAAGTCCCAGCCCGAGGTGGACGGCTACGCCAAGGTGTTCGGGAAGCTCAAGTCGTTCGGGAACAAGCGGTTCGTCGGGGCGCATTGCGTGCGCGCCGTCAAGGATATCAATGAGGTGCATGTGCATCTGCTAGAGGCGGCGGCGGTGCATCTGTTTTTCACGAAGGGGCCGGTCGGTGGTTCTCAGGGGCAGGGGGCTGGTGCGGGTGGTGCGGCTGGGGATGCGTCGATGGGTGGGGTGGATGATTATGGTGCTGGTGGTGGTGGGCGGGCGTTGCCGGCGATGAGTCCCGTGGCGAGACGGGTGTATAATCTGCTCAGGACGGAGCCACAGAGTAATGAAGGGTTGCATGCGCAGTTGATTGCGGCTAAGTTGAGTCTGCCCATGCCGGATGTCGCTAGGGCGGGCGATGAGCTGTTGACGGCTGGGGTCATCTTCTCGACGGTGGATGAGCAGACCTGGGCAATTCTGGAGTATTAGGTTGGTTTGGTATGGGGGTTTCTTGTTTGCATGTACGATTTGCGCGTTATTGATGAATATGAAAAAATGGGTTCCTTTAATGGATGATATACATTGTCCCGATTGGACATGGTGCATAACGATATTGGCCGATTTGAGGCCTACATACAACCAGAACTAATCTAACACACCTAGCAAATACAAAATATACACACCGCAATCTCAGTCCGCTTGCAGAGGGTCGTGAGTTTGTCGAAACTTTTGAATAAACGATGCCGCCTCCCATATATGTACAGTACTAATATACCGCACCCGTCGTTCAAAGGGGAAGCTAGGTAATAGCAGTGAACCCACAACGAAAAAAAATCATCAAAACATCATGGTGGTCATCATTCGTCGGTAACAGGTAACAATAAATTCAAGTCATGGAGTTCCGCTTCAGGGCATCCTCCACGGAGCGGTTCCAGTTGGTCTGCGTGAGGAAGAATCCCTCAATGATGGAGACGAGCATGAGGGCAAGGGCCACGCCACTCCAGAGTCCGAAGAGACCCCAGTCCAGAGCAAAGGTGGTCCCAAAACTGATGGGCATGGCGATGGCATAGTAGCAGAAGAGCTGGACGTACCCGCCGATCTCCTGCCGCCCGATACCTCGGAGGATACCGTTGCAGTTGGCTGCGAGGGCGTCGAAGAGTTGGAACGCCGCGCAGAGAGGCAGCACTTGGGCAACCAGTTCGATGACCTCCTCCTCGGACGTAAACAGGCGAGGGATGTAGTAGCGCAGCGAGGAGAGGAGGAGCATATTGAGGAGCCCGACAATCACGGCACCGACCATGGTGACCTTGGCAGAGGTTTTGGCGGCGTTGACAAGGGTAGCGCCAATCAAGTTCGCCACACGGGTGCTTCCAGAGATGGAGACAGGGAAGGGGATCTGGAAAGTGATGCTAGAGATGGTCGAAAGGATGGACTGTGCGGCCAAGGGGGTTGTTCCGAGATACGAAGAAGCCAGCGTGAGGACCTCGAAGGCCAAACACTCAGCCTCGACCATCAGGAGACCGGGAAGAGCGAGCTTGATCATGGGTCCCCAGTTGCGCAGCGCCCTTCGGGTAACACCATTCCAGCATTCGGATCCCGCAACAAAGTACACGTACAGAAACAGGAAGAGCGGCATCAGGTTGTCCGTGATGGCCACGGCGATGGGGGCTCCAACAAAGCCCCACCCGAACTGCCAGACGAACACGTAGTTCATCACTGCATTGAGAGGAGCACAGATCAGGAGGACGTAGAGAGAAGCGGAGAACAGACCCTGCGCCTGCACGAACCGCTTCCCGCTCTCAAAACAGGCATATCCCGGCGCACCCAGTGCGACCACCTTCAGATACAAGCCCGCAAGCTCAGCCACTTCCTTCTCCGGCACAATCCTGACCAGGACCTTGTCCGCAAAAAACCAAAGAATGACAATAGGAATGGAGATGGTCCACAGGAAGAAGACCATCTTCTGCATTTGCAGACCCACCAGCTTCTTCTTCCCAGAACCGTAAGCTTGAGCGCAGAGTGTATCGAGACTGGTAGCCAATCCCTGGTAGACTGTACACGACAAATAGAATTAGCGCTGTGTTAAGCGAATGCAACCAGCCTAAATTCGAGACTTACTAGCATAACCCGTGATATTGGCGCTCATGCTCGCCAGACTGACCGCGCCCAGTTCCTTCTTCCCCAAGTGCCCCAGGGTGAAGATACTAGCCACCGTCAGGGAGTATTGGAGCAAGAAGGTGAAAACCAAGGGCGCCGCATTCTTGCCGATGACCTGAGCCTCGCGCTTCCACGTTGTCTGGATGAGCCCCGCGGTGACGGCCTCCTCCCACTTCCGGTCGATCTCCTCGGAGTCCACGGAATCGTACTGCGGCGCCCGCGAAGATCCCTCCCCACCGAGGAGCGCGGTCTCCTCTGTGGACGGCGCGGACTCCGAGGCCGAGCGACGGGTCTTCTTCCGCGACGGCTCGATGAAATGGTTGTCCGTGAGGAGATTGCGCTCGTCCTCGATGGCCTGGTCGCGTTCGCGCCGGGTCAGGCCTTCCTGCTCCGGGCGATACGGGACGACGGTGGCGCGCGAGACGGTGGTGAAGTAGCTGGGCCGTTGGTACGAGCCGGCCAGGGAATGGGCGCGGGTTCCGGGCTGGCTGCCGATTGCGCGAATGGTCGAGGTCTCGGAGGCATCGTCGTCGTCGTCGGTGGTGAGCATGGAGCTTTCGTCGTCGGCGTAGTCCTCAAGGTCGCGCGCAATGGCGGACCGCGCGAGCGGCGAACGAGACAGGTAGTGGTGCTCGTCTGACATTCTGGGGGAGTGAAAATCGGAATCGCGCGGAGTCATGATTTCTCGGATAAGAGGTCGGCGAGAGCTGCTGAGGGGGAGGGGAATTGGAGGTTTATAGATGGAGACTAAAGTAAGGAGCAATGCTGCATGGTTTGCCGAAAGCCGCAGCAAAGGACTTCCGGAGTGAATGAAGCACTGGAATTAAGCAAGGAGGGGAATTGTTTAAGACTCAAGAGCGACTGAGCGACTGAGCGACTGGGATAGTTGGATGGGGGCGACGCTTTTATCGTCTCTAGCGATTGGACAATTTCGGAAGGTCTAGCAGCGAGCAGCAAATTTTGCGGCGTCAGCGATTGGCTTGCAAGTGCAAGTCTGGTTGGAAGTGCCCCGTATTGTGGCTGCGGGTCTCTTACCTTACCTTATCTTTTGAATCTCCAGCTTCGTCGACGTGACTCACCTCGTGTCTTTTCCATTCCCATCGATGGATTCGTGGTGGCTTCATTCACTCGGAGGATATCAATTAGCCCGTCTTGTCATGACTGGACAGAGGTGAAATTGAGCAATTCGTTGAGACAACGTGGAAAGTCTCATGTCACTGTTTTCTCCCTCTGATTACCAGGAATGGAGTAGTCAGGATTGATTAGCCCCCGCATTGACCGATAGGAGGATGACTAACCCGTGCGTACCAGCCATCAGCCCATGCAATTGGGCGGAATCCCAAAGAAGATGGTCCAGCCGAAGGAACCAAGTAGATAGTAGGTGGGCGAGATCGGCGATACTGGATTGAGGGACCTTACCCTTATCCACCGAAGCTTCAACATGACAGACTGAGGAACGGGTCGATCAGGTGTCAAAACCGAGGAGGGATCCTTTCAGCATAACCATAACCCATAATCCCAAGAATAAGAACGTCGACACCTTGTGCAACGCCGAGTTCGCAAAACAACCCAGCCATGACATCATTCTGCCCAGGGTTGTCGCCGAGCATGGAATCACGTGCAGGGATGCATCACTAGCCATCACTAGTAGTGTACACCGTACCTTGGCTGTCACCGGACCCTTTTTCCAGCACCCAAGAATACGACCGGTCTCAAAGAGAGAAAATCCAGAATCCCAGCCATGAGCATCACCCAGACGAAGCGAGTCAAGGTCGCAAGCAGTTGGCCTGTACAGCTTCGATATCTTGGCTGTGATTATTCGATCCAGACGTGAAGCAGCACATTGCTATACCACACAACAAGCAAAAACCCCCTCAACCACCGTCACACACAGAGAGAGACACTACAGAACCGCAACAATGACAACGACAACGACCACCACAACAACAAACCCCCACCACCCCCCCAAACCCCCGTACAACCCCCTAATCAACCCCGCCAACGCAACCCCCATCTCCGCCAACAAGTCAGTCTTCCCCCAACCCCCCAACCCCCCAACCCGCAATCCCAGGGTACTGTACATACACATACCCCCCTTCAAACCCCAACTAACCCACTCCCACAAGCCCCCCCCAACCCACGACGCACATCTTCCTCGCCCGGCCACTCAGCGGCGCCCTCCTCTTCGACAACCTCACCTCGGACGCGCGCGACCACTGCGCCAACGAGCGCACCTTCCTCTCGTGGCTGCGCCTGGCCATGTACCTGGGCGTCGTGGCGATCGCGATCATCATCTCGTTCCACTTCCAGACGCCGCCGACGGGGCTGGAGCGGCGCATGGCGCTGCCGCTGGGGATCGTGTTCTGGCTGCTGAGCCTGACGTGTTTAGTCACTGGATTCGCCAACTATATCCGCACGGTCCGCAAGTACAGCCAGCAGGCGGCGCTGGTGCAGAGCGGGTGGAAGACCCAGGTCATGTTTACGGTGGTCGGGACGGTGATTCTGGCGTGTTGTGTGCTGTTTTTGGCGACGGATGCGAAGACGTCCCGTTGAACTTTCAAGGGACGTGGGTTGAGGATGAATTATGAACTACGATCTCAGGTGAGCGCCAGAGGGAAGGGTATAGGTCAAGGTGAAGGGCAAGGGCAAAGTCTAGGCCGGTTTATGATATGTACGAAACAAGCGAGTCGCCAATCATCTTTAGCATCAAGATCACGGTCAATGTGAATGCAGTGGTTTGTTGGAACTTAAGGATCGAATTCGAGCATCGAAACGCTAGCCATATGATTATGAAAGAAGGGGAATAAATGGGAACACTGCAAAAAAAGCAAAGAGTTTCGCCCATGATGAGCACAGCAGCAACGAAACAGGGATATTAAGATATGTATGGGATGAAATGCAGACTAGACCGTCACGCTGGACAACGGAGAAACGCCCTACATCCGACGAATCCCCTTCTCATTCTTGTAGGCCTCCAACGACGGCGAGCCGAGGTGGCTCCACCACTCGAACAGCATCGAGTTGCAGATGAGCTTGAACCAGGGCGTGAACTTGAGGCCGGGCTTCTCGAACATCTGCTTCAGCTCCTCGGCCGAGACATAGCAGGTGTCGCGGATCTCGTTGGGGTTGATGTTCAGGTCGACGTCGGCTTGGATGAAGAGGATGTAGTCAACTGGAGACGGCAATCTGTAAGCATTTGGGTGACAGCTATGCAGAGAAAAAAAATAAAAACAAGGTAACGCACTCTCATGCTCCCCCCACTTGCCATCGCTGGGCGCCTTGTAGTGGATGCGGGTGAAGAACTCGAACTTGTCCAACGGCACCTGCTCCGCCTTGATGCCCAGCTCCTGATCCAACTTGCGCTGCGCCGCGCGCTTCACGCCAAGAATCGCGGCGTCCAGCTCCGAGCCCGTCTCGCCGGGGATGCCCAACGGGTGCGAGCAGCAGGTGTTCGTCCACATGTCCGGGAATGTGATCTTCTCGGTGGCGCGCTGTTGCAGGAGCAGGCGCTTGTTGGAGTCGAAGAGGAAGACCGAGAAGGCGCGGTGCAGGAGGCCGCGGTCGATGTTCGTCATCAGGTGGCCTAGTCATACAGACATAAGGTGTCAGCGATTCGGAACGAGATGTAGCCCATACACAGGTCTTTCGAAGAGAGAGAGAGAGAAGGGAGGGACAAGCGGCCAACGCCACCGCTGTTGTTTTCTCCCTGAAAACTGAAGCTTTGGGGAGCAAAACTTACAGGCCTTCTTGCTGGCACTACCGATAGGCTTGTCGTCCTCATCCAGAACAATGCACACCTCATCCATCAAACGGACCTGTTCCTCATCGTAGCCGGCCAGGTCGTCGCTGGACCCGGCGGCGGCAGCACTTGTCGCAGTCGGGAGAACCTCACGAGCGAGCGAGGTGTCGACCTCGGGGAAGAGAGTCGCGACATTCTCCGCCGTGATTCTTGGCGTCTCGGTGACAGTTGTCGTGGCGCTCATTGTGGAAGTTTCCAGGTAGACTGAGGAGATGTTGAAAGCCGGAGAAGAAGGGGGGTCGGGGAGGGGGAGGAGGAGGAGGAGGAGGAGCGAAAGGCGGGCGGCGGGTTGTCATTTATTATTATTGACCCTTCATTTTTCCGCGGGGGCAATAATGGGAGAGAGGGGGCGGGCGGCCCCCATGCCCCGGGCGGTGGCAGAATCCCAACTCGTGCGGAGTTCTTTTACCACTGAGGGAATGTTGCACAACATGGCTGCGTTGCGTTGCGTTGCGTTGTTCCGGGAGTTGGCTGCATGAGAGGGGTGTTTTGCAGCTCGTCCGACCTATGGCCTTGCAACGATGGAGGTCATGCGCTGGGCTTGAGGTTGTTGGCACCAAGTAAAAAAAAGTTCTCGGCTCTCGATTGAGCAACGACTGATCTGCAGGGAGACTGATTTGAATGCCTGCACCACTTGCCTGCGTCGCCTGTGCTTTCTGGGGATGAGATGAGGAACTGACGGGGTCTGGATGCCATCGAACCAGATAGTCAGTGCATGTCAGAGCCGGGAATGTGTCGCTCACTGATAATGAGGGGCTCTGACGCACATGCTGCCCAGCTCGTAGTCGCATAGCAGTGGTCCTCAGTCCCACAAGCAGCTCTATCGAGACAACCGGAGGAAGTGATCCTAGCTTGCCGATAACTCGAGATATGGATTCGAGCAGTAACTTGCGCGATTGCTCGAAGGCTGGCTAGCTGTAAGCCAAAGCAGATACATCCCTCGCTGCCTGCTCTGTCACCGAGTATCGTAGATTGTCACAGTCGAGCACCCTCGCATCGATCGTGCAAGAGAATCTGCACAAACCATGTCAGCGTGAGATGAGCCATCAAGCATTTAAAAGCATCAAGCACCATACAAGCACCCAAATAGCGAGGTACAGTACCTGCAGCCATAAACCGAATCAACCACGCGGACGTGGGGGGAAGTTGGGATCCTTAAACCCCGAGCGACCTTGCCATGCTTGTATGTTCCGTTCCAACCACCCCTCCAAGCCCAACATCAATAGAAGCAAGGTACAGTGCATGCAAGCATTTATAGAGCTATAATCCTAGTCATAACTATAATCTGCAGCCCATCTATATACTCTTGTTGTATTGATTGAGCTCACTTTGTTATATCTTCTTGTTCCCCAGCACCAACAGCAGCACCATTCCACACTACAAACGCAATATTAACCACCCTTCCCATAGACCTATACCCTAACCCCTCGATACAATATCTCCTCAAAACAAGAACCTCTAACCCACTCAAAACATAAACCCAAAACCCCAGCCCCTCCCATCCCATCCCCAACAAACCCCCACGAAAACACCCCGAACCTAAGCAGAAACAGGCAAGCAAGTCCCACAAAAATCCCCCGAAGCCTTTTGACCTGGTAATTGAAGGGCCCCACCTCGATCCGACTCCGATCCCGACTCTAAGAGAGACAGAAAGAAGAAGTCCGATGATGTCCGGCCACACCTCAAACCTCATAAAACGGAACCCACTTAGACGGAAAAAATGAATCAAGAGCTAAATTGAAACCAGTATCCGTAGTCGATGACAACAAATCGACCCCCGACGGTGTTCAATTAGCCCTGAGCTGGAACCATGGTACGGTCGCAGACTTTAATCGAGTACGTGCGGAGTACCGTATATGCGTCGGGGAAGATGGAACTTCCGGACAACTAGTCTCGATGCGGGCAAAAGAGGGTCAATGAAAAGCCTGGACTACTCCTTGGAGCTTGCTCAGGGGATGACGGTTCGGGGTTAGGGCGGGTAAGGTAAGCGAATTGACTACCTAGCTGGAGGTACCTAAGGTAGGTACCTATCTACTAGGTATGAGGAATAGCCAGCCAGGTAGTTAAGTTACCGAGGCTGTACTGGAACTACTGGCCCTATTTTTTCCGCCTTGCCATGGTTCGTATGGTGGTCGGTCGGTCGGTCGGCGGTCGGAGCCGGACTTTCAGAGGCTTGGGTGTATGTGCTAGCACGTACACTTGTTCACACTTAGACACCCACACACTTGGGACGTACGGAGAACGAGAAAAGTGATGTAGACGAGATTCGTTTGCCAATCTGTCTGTTTGCAGGTTTTGGTTGATGGGAGTGAGTGGTCCACTTCCCAAGGCATTGACCGACCGGCCAAGATGAAGAACACTTGGAGGCCACTCTAGGACTTCTTTTCAGCCCGTGTCTTCGCAGCCTGGTTCTGTCTTTCTTTGTTCGAGTTCGATATTACTCGAGCCTAGCGTCTGTTTAGTGTCGAGCTAGATTTGCGCGATTGTCTTGCCATGCCATCAGTTCCCAGCACTGTGATACGTTCTGTGGTCTTTGGTTCGAGTGAAAGGAACAATGAATCGATTGTGTGTGTGTGTGCTGTGCGAATCTCCTACAATCTGCTCTCCTTGCTTCCGCATGGACCTGCCACGCGGGAGCGTTGAGGCTCTATAGCCCTCCCATGTGCTCTATACGAGATGCGGAAACATTCAAGCTCGAAACCAGATAGACCAAATGCCAACGCAAGAACCTCCCCAGACGGCAAAACCAAAACAAGAACAATTGACATGGAAAGTAAAGAGACAAACATGAAAACAGATGACCTCCTTGCAACAAACGTGTAGATATAAACAAAATCCTCCCAGAATGCGATGTGCTAGTATCGACGGTAACCTCCCAAGAAATCATACAGGCGTGTCAAAACATGTGGTCGTCATGCTTGCGGTCAACGCAGGGCTTGACCGGTTCCAAAACTTGTGCAGCGGTTGGGTCTTCTCTCACTGCTGGTCAAAGAAATACCACCGATGCTGGTGGCCATTCGTGGCGATGAATCATCCGGTGAAAAACAAATCCACGAATGCCGTATCAGGCTGATCTTAAAACCCTCTACGAAGCGTGGCACTTTCGCATCTTCCGAGGGCATCCGTCTAGCTTGTGTCTATCCCAGTGTCAGCATTTGAGCATGTCGAGCTCACTGGCATGGAAAGTTGTCAGCATACCTATTAAGCGTATCCTGTCGGCTGTAATACTGCCCGCACTGGTCGCAGTAATGTTTACGCTCCTGAACGTGGGCCTGCGACTGTCAGAAACTGGACCTTGTAGATCAAGATTTGCCACTTACGCTCTGCACATGTCTCCGAAGGTCAGTGTTCCGCCCATATGTCTTTCCACAAATATCACATGGGAAAGACTTCCTCAGCTTAGGGTCATGCCTCTTCTCGTGCTCCCGGCAATTCGAGCGTCGAGTGAACCGGAATCCGCACACACTGCACTTCAGGCCACTCGCAGGTGGTATCTTTAACTCTTCACCGGGAGTTCTGACCACCTCCTCGATCCACCTTGAGATTACTTCGCAGGGGATTCGTTCGAGTGCATTTTCTTGGTCGGAAACCAAACCGGCTGAGTTGCTGCGACTATCGATGGGAGGCCATTGTAGCCCGGTGCTTGTGTCGCTAAGAGGCATAGGTGGCATCTGGGAAAGTGCAGCAGCAGATGCATTGGAAGCCGAACCTTGGTGCACAGGCGGGCCCTGCAACCCATGCGAGTCCTCCTTCATGGCATAGTCCGCTGGCATATTCGGACAGTCAGAAGTCGGCGTACGAGGCCATACGGATGACCCGTCATCCGGCGCAACTTCGCGGTGGCCCTCGGTCTCGGTACTCGAGCCATAACTCGGCGACGAACTTAAGGTATGTGAGCTATAGAAGCTTGCCGGGGAGGGAGCGGCTTCCATGACACCACTAAGCGGTTCAAAGATGGTTGTTGAAGAGTAGAGCCTGTATTCTGGAGGGGGTTGGAGGAAGTTCTCGGAACTGAATGTTGTATTCGACCAAGCGTTGGCTGACAAGGTAGGAGGTTCTGGATGCGCATACAGGTCGGTCTCAGACGCAGTACTTTCCATGCCGAAGTGTGATATGCCCAAGCCAGCCAGCTGTTGAGTGTTTTGCATATCGAAGGAAGTCGCATACATGGAGGACGCATAAGCTGAAGTGGCATCTAGGATCGAGTGGTCATCCGATGCTGAGCTAGCAAAGGGCGAAGGTGACGGGTATGAAAAAGGTGTGAAGTTCATGGTTGTTGAAGAAGCAGCCGGGGGTCTTGAAAAACGTGACGAGAGATGATGGAGACACGGGCAAGAGAATTATGAACCAAGGTGGGAAGGATGCTGAAGCTATTATATCTTTCACAGCGTCTTGATCAAAGCCAAGGACGATCAACAAGTGACTGAACAATGCGTGAGGTGTGACTGAGCTGTGACAGTGAGAAGAATTATATAAAAAAAATTAGAGAGTCAAAGTGACCCGGTAGCAACGCTGCTGTGCGATCGCAATAGTGGCGCACGACAAAAAGCGGCTGAAAGTAATGACGACTAGATTGCCATATGACAATTGGAGTACAGCATCCGCCGCATGAGGCACAGAAGAGTGAGATAGAAGCAAGAAAACCGACGCCTCGTCAGGCAAGGCAGACTTGAGGAGACAGTCTTGCATGGGTGAGGAGGGACTTGACGCGAAGGGGGTGTGCAAGGCCTAGCTGGGTAGGGCCGAACCAAGTGGACTGCAGCCTCTGGTCTGCAGCATCCATATAGGCGCGACAATTAGATATTATGCACAATTAATTAGCGCCGGAAGGATGTGATCAGGCCAAGTTGCCAGTCACTCTTTTTACCCTGGGCTAAAAAGAACAAAAAAAAAGAGGTGTGGGTGGGGAAGAGCGATGCATGATTCGAATGACATCGGATAACACCGCTGTGAGGGTGTGGCAGTTGGTCTGAATGGAATCGACGGTAATGGGGACCCGACACGCACTTGACAGCGGATAGAGGGGAAGAGGAGTACAAACGGCAGCCGACGGCGCTTGAACAAGAGGAGGGGGGAAAAGAGGGAAACGGAATCAACCCCAGTCTTTAGACGGGGGAAAGGGAGAGAGGGGGGAAGAGATTGGATTGCCTGTTCCACCCAGGACTGCTGGAGAACGACGAGCATCAGCAGCGCCTGCATCATAATTATTGAATGGGACCGCTGCTTTTCCCAATAGCAAGACTGGTCGGGCGCGATTTTCTTTTCTTTTCTTTTCTTTTTTTTCTTTTTCCCTTTCGTCTGATTCATTCTCAGTCTTTTTGCTGCGGATGGAAAAGGAATAGCTGGGACCCGACAGTCTGGTACCTTGCTTGGCAACGCAACAGTGCGTGTCGCCAGGTATGATTGACAAACACTGCCCCCATGGCTGAGGAAACGAGAGGACAGGAATTAAAATCCAGAATCACAGTCACGTAGCAGAGGAGTAATGTTGGTGACAGGAGCGTAGCCCAGGTGTTGTTGGGGGATATAGTTGTAGATGAAGATTCATGTTGAAGGCTGGCTTATCTTCGTTGAAGAAGAAGTTCAGTTTAGCGGAGAGAGAGGGAGAGAGATGATTGAGGAGGGAAGAATACGTAGTTAGAAGGGGAGAAGGGGAGGGGGGGGGTTCTCAGTTACCCGTGACCCTCTCCTCTTCCCCCCCACCCCCCGGTCCGGGTACAGTTTTAGGGGTGTCTGAACCAGGGCAATGAGGGGCGCCCGGCCCTAATCCCGGGCCATCCTCCTACCAACCTTGGAACTGGGCAAAATGGCATGGTCCCATTGTTATTATTGTTATTGTAATCATCCAGTATGATTATTTCTAAATCGAGTAAAAAATTGTAAGAAATTGTATCAAGTTGTATCGAATTCCTAGCCCTCTGTGACTAATGCAAAGACTTAACTACAAGAACAACCTCTGCATTTACCTAAAAAGTGCCGTGTTTACGACCTAACTGTAGTGCTAACTCTCCCGAGCAATGGAAGGCATCTGAAGGTCTAGAAGTGTCTTATCATCCCAAGAGCACCACCTACTGTACTGTACATGGACCAAAGTAGCATCGACAGCCAGACTAAAGGGAACAGGAAATGCAAGAATGCACCAGAGTGAGGTTGTCACACAAAGACATTTGAGCCGCGCAAAGAACAAAAGGCATTTGATCAACTATGTACAATCATCTTCAGAAAGTGTATCTTGTTAATGGGACCATCTAGGCAATACAACAAATCTCTGCGTGCGAGTGAAGGCTTCGAAGCTCAAGAACGTAAGCCATTTTCGAGTTGGTCGCTGGCCGGTGCTCGCGCTAAAGCTTAGGCTATGAAGCCGGCCCTGCGGCGAGTGCGTGTGCCTAACAGGCCTACGGCACAACCGTCTCCATGTTCTAGCCTAGCCCCTCGCCAGCTGGGAAGGGCTAACTTAGCGTTTGTTAATGAGTTCGATGGAGAAAGGCCACGGTTGTAGCCACTCGTTCCACTTGAACTCGCAATCTCTCTATTTCATCGACCATATCCGGAATGTCAACCGGTCCAGCCTGCCCTGGAAATGATCCGCGTATCTCCGAGTGAGAGCGCTCCTTGGATCTTGTAGGTCTAGAGAACTGCCCCTCACTTGCGGAGCTCTGCAGCGGGGCATGGTGCGTGGAGGGAGGGAAGCCCGCTTGGAAAGACGAGGTCGGGCGACTGCTCCCTCCTGTCGTAGCCGTTGGTGGAAACTGACTATTTCGCCGCGAAACATAGCGGCGGCTAGATTCATAGGCCCAAATCAGTGCAACAAACGGTAGGTGGGTTGCTCGGAGCAACACGATGCGGACTCGGCGAATATGCTCTGCAGACAGGAAGAGCCTCAAGGGCCGGATACAGAGAAGAGGGATGAGGTTCTATAGCGTAGCGAGTCTTGCTGTTAGCGACTCGTCCTCTGGTGCAAGTTCAAGTGATCACCATGGACTGACTAAAGGGGGCATGAAGTAGGTCAGCCTTCGCGAATTGCTGCTTTCCAAGACGTAGATCGACAGTCTGGTACTAGCGTAAGTTATTGTTTTTCGTTTTCTTTTTTTGCATGTCGCCCAGATGGAATGCTCACTGAAAGAGGTACTCTTCTCTCGCATGAGCCATGACCTGAAAGATGGAGCAAAGGTGCCGATTAGCAGTTGACAGATTAGGAAGTGCGCAAATCAGCCACCGTGCGCAATCAGCATACCCCTTCTAGACTCATGCTCATAAGGCTGACCAGCGACGAGAGCAACAATAAATTGGTCATGGAGACAAAGATTAACCTGCAAACCAATGTCCGTTAGCCACTATGCCCAAGCTATAATTGGGGAGTGATGGGGTCCGTAGTCGTTCGCATCGATGCCGAGATGGTGTGAGGCTTGACGTGCTAAAGTTGCGTCCTATTGGCGGCCCGGCAACACCGGCGCTCACCAACGGGCCTTCAGAGCATTAGGTCCACGACCCTATGATGTCTGATGTTGGCATCGCCACCTTCAGATGCACCTGTGCAAGAACAGAAATGGCACTGAGATCAAGGATAGAGAGGGTAAATCGACAGGGGAAACGCCAAACGTGATCGCAGGCGTATGCGACCGGCACGTCCCATGGCGTCTGTGGCGCAGTACGGAGTAGGTGTAGTACAGCAACAGCAGTAAAAGGGAACGGGAACAACACACATCAAACCGTAGCCGAAGATCGGGGAAATCTAAGAATTAGCGCATCAGTAAAACTTCACTCGAGAGCCAATCGATTCCGGCGATCCTTGCCATCTTCCAATCAAGATTGCATGGCGCCCGGCTAGTGCATGAGACTTACATCGTGAGCGATGTCCTGTTTCCAATCATTTCAGCCACCGTCAGTCTTGCAGAAATTCGAGCATCCAAGAGACAAGGGACAACCCACGAAGCCCAGCACGTTCGACCTGCCTCGCACTGTTAGCTCCAGGGAAGAGTCGTCGCTAACCAGGGAATTTCACCGCCATACCCAAAGAACACCTTCACCAAAATCCATGACATTTGCCTGAGAGAGAGGCGGTCACGGGCAAGCATGGTAAACGTGGTCAAGAACCCTGCAGGAACATCCCCGGCCGCATTGGCATCAGGCTTTCTCGAATGCGTCATTTGGGGTTACCCACCTAGGTACAACACTACAATCACAGGGATAAATCGGAAGAACGCTTTGGTCTAGAATGACTTCCGTCAGCTTCCTCGCCGCCTGCAACTACGGGACAGCCGGGTAATTGCACCATCTCCTTGAGAACCGGGATCTGTGCATGGAAGTCAGCCCAGTCTCCTCAAAAGCATGCATGATCCGCAGGCATGGCATACCAGACTTCCAAAATAGGAATTTAAGCTCACCAGGGAGCAGATCCTGTTCAGCTCCCATGTGTCAGAGTCCGCTGAAACACGTATCAGCTTGCTAGCACAAGGAGCCTCCGGACTCACCGAGGAACTAGAAACAAAGCCTCCAGGGACAGGATATCGAAAGATAGGTCAGTGATGTAATCGCTCTTCTTCGCCAGACCGATAACCCCTATTGATATTCCCCGTTCAGTTAGTTAATGGAGAAAATACAAATGCCCCTACCAAAACCCTGGTCGCACAGAGACTGTGCTCAGCTGAGGGTAATGGGCACTGCGACGAGGCAGATTCCTGATCTCCGAGCATGACTCACTTATGATCATGAAGGCAAGACCGGTACCGATGATGGCTATGTTCCAGACACTCCAGAAGTCCATCTGGTAGAAGACCATCCCCGCATCAGTCATGCCGCTGAATTCGTCGTAGGCAAAAGCAGCAATCCAGATGTACATCAATGTTTCGAAGATGCCTATTCCGGTGGACTTTCTCTCCACCAAGACAGCATAGTAAAGAAACAGGAAGGAGACGAAGAATGCAGCCTCAAAGGCTTTGCGGTATACTGGGACCCTCAAGCGGGAGTATGGATCCGCGGTCCTATATGGTATGTCTCTTAGCAACCTGCGAAATGCTCCCCCTCCCTGGCGTAAGGGACTCCTACCTTTTGTTGAAGAACTGAGGTTTCTTGGTGGAATGAACACTGAGCGAGTCCCAGAACACAATCTCCCCGTTCCAGATATTATCAATGACCTTTTGAACAACTTTCTGACTGAGGAACTTCTTTGCTTCTGCGATTGCTGCTATCTCCAAGGCGCTCAGTCCAAAGAACATGGAGTACTTCATAAGCTCATACGCGTCCGCAGAGGAAACGTTACTTCCAGAATTTGCTATATCCGAGGCGCTACCTGCGCGCCTCTTGCCGCCGAAGAATCGGTACAGCGAAGAAGATGAATGCAGAAGGAGGGGTGTTCGTTCTCCTTCCCGTTGGAAACTTTGCTCGTCGCCTGCCGCTGCGAAACCCGATGAGCCTCTCTCTGCCTGGGTGAGGCTAATCGAGGTATACACGGGGCTAGGTAGCTCCTCTAGCAAGTATTCGATAGTCTCGCGCTGATTGATGTGACAGAGAAACTGCCATGCTACGTATTCGCATGCATAGCCGCGGCCTTCATTCAGACCCCAGTCATTTTCGGCTGCATTGTTGAACTCCCACTTCAGGATCCTGCAGCAGGTCAGCTCTGAGATTCATGCAGCTACATGCATGGGAATGCTTACATCAGTGCAGAGATGATACATGGGTTGTGCGAGTTCTCTGCCAATGAGTACAGCAGTAACCTAAGCTTCTGTCCGCAAGGTGAGAATCTTAATTCTTCAAAAGAATATGAGACCTCGGAGACCGCTTGTATCATATAGCTAAGTGACAGTAGCCAGTCAGCCTGACTAGTACTAACGGAATGCGGGGGCAAGAACTTACTTTTGAAGTTTGCGTACGACCTCGATGAGGGGCTCATTGTCATCAATGATAGGAACCTCAATGTGGTCTTGATCGACGGGCGGAAGTGACGCCATGGAGGACTCCATCCCGAAAGAAGCCATCAGTCGAGTAAAGTAGGCCCGTGGCCCTCAAGTCTGTACGACCTGGCAATGACTACTAGTATTAGTGATGACCCTTGTTGTAAATAGGAAGCGGGAAACAGTGACCTTGAACACAAGAAAGCCAACACGTCAAAGTAACGAGAAGAAAAGGGATAGAAGCAGACGAGGACAGAGCGTAAATTCAATAATTCAATACAATCTTGTGCTTTTTTCCGTTCGGGAAATTTTTTTTTCTTGTCCAGGTGCTAGTTTTTCGAAGGGTCCGCGAATGATTTGTCGGTGAACAACTCTTCAGGGATGCATGTCAACCTTACTAGGTACTGGGAGCCAGGTACTGGATGGCACCGATAGTACTGTACCTGGAGAGGTACTATTTCTAGCACAAGTGCTTGTCAGGCAAAAAAAATTGAGAACTGTTGAGGAAGAAGATAATGTAAAGAGGTGCTCACTTCAAGGTTAGAATGATGGACTATTGTCCATGGTGTTGACTGAGTTTGTCTGTGCAGTGTAGCGACCGTTCTAAATAAGTGGCCGAGTATCTGAGGTGTTCCCGGGAGGATGGCGAGAGTCTCAGCATCGACGGCATGATTGGCTCATTTGGTGCCATAAACCCGCCGGCGAAACAAGCTCTACGGGACGCCATTGCAGCCACCTCCCATCCGTGCCCAATGATGAAAGCATTATTGAGTTGGTGACTTTTAGTTCGTCCGTTAGAGGCAACAAGAAGGTGTACAGCTGATCGAGCCTCACTTTTGTTGAAAGGTGAGTACTCGACCATGAGTGATCATCTCAGCTCCACGTCAACGGATTGAATCATCGGTAGGCAGGGGGAATCCTTTAAAGCAATAAGACATTCCACTTCTATTCTGGAAAAAGAATTTAACTTGGCGATAACAATAGTTTCGAGAAAGAGCCGCATCCAAGCAAGCACCATAAGTAGTAACTTACTGAGTAGGATGGATTAGACTACAGTGTACTCCGTACTCCGTACAGCCGAAGCGAAACCGCCTCACCGCTTTCCTTGAATCATGTGACCAACATGGGAGCTCCAACCGTGTCGGGCGCGGCTTCACATTAACTTATCCACTCATGAACCCAGACCCAATCAACCAACCGCCTTTCTTCCTGGCCTGGCTCTCTCTCTTTCAGCCAAAGCATCTTTTCCTCTACCGTCTCACAGTCTGCTCTGAAATTACCTCTAACAATCTTGATGTGACTGGTCCAATCTTGCTCTGCCGTATCTGGGAGATGAAGGCGCATCAACACCATGGGCCAAGGCTATTCACTCACCACCCTGTCCGCGGGTTCGGCGGGGATCGATGTTCCCGAGTTATCGGACCTGGCGTATGAGAAGTCCATGGGTGGTGGCAGGTTCATGAAAAGTATCCGAGCCAGACAACACAATGGCCTCGTTTTCGTAAAGGTTATAATGAAGCCTTATCCCAGTATGAAGCTGGAGCCATATATCAAAGCTATCCTTCGTAAGTTCCGATAGTGACGATCAGCGGCATCGCATGCGCACTGGTGCTAACACCGGCGGTAGGTGAGCGCAAGCTGTTGGCCGACGTACCCAATGCTTTGAGTTATCAGAGGATACTCGAGACCAGCACCGGTGGTTATCTCGTTCGCCAATACATCCATAGCTCTCTTTATGACCGGATGAGGTATGTCTGCTCAAGATTTGTCACGATAGTGTGCTCAACTGACCACAGTGCACAGTACCCGTCCATTTCCCGAGGAGATCGAGAAGAAGTGGATTGCCTTTCAACTCCTATGCGCGTTGAGAGACTGTCATTCGCTCGACGTGTTCCATGGCGATATCAAAACCGAGAATGTTTTAGTCACGTCTTGGAATTGGCTCTACCTCTCGGACTTTTCATCCTCCTTCAAACCCACGTTTCTTCCGGAGGACAATCCGGCGGATTTCTCATTCTATTTCGACACGTCCGGTCGTCGGACCTGCTACTTGGCACCTGAAAGGTTTCTCGAAGCCGGTGAAGAACCTGGAAGCCGACATGTCAACTGGGCTATGGACATCTTCAGTGCTGGTTGCGTCATCGCCGAACTTTTTCTAGAGGCTCCTATCTTCACATTGAGTCAGATTTACAAGTACCGGAAAGGAAAATATAGCCCAGAACATAGCCAGTTGATTAAAATTGAGGACCCGGAGATCCGTGCCTTGATCCTCCATATGATACAGCTCGATCCTGAGTCCAGATATTCCGCGGAAGAGTACCTGAATTTCTGGAAGAACAAGGCGTTCCCCGAATACTTCTACAGCTTTCTACACCAATACATGTCTCTTATGACGGATCCATCGTCGGGTAGGGCACAGGTTGAGGCAGGATCTACCAGTCGAGGAGAGGCCGATGACCGCATTGAAAGAGTCTACCTTGACTTCGATAAAATATCCTACTTCCTTGGTGCCTCACCAGCGACTACCAAAGATGGATCAAATCGCAATCGCCCCAAGCTCACCGGCGATACATTTCCTGTGGAATTAGATCTTCCTCACTACGGGCTTACGGGCACAAAGTCCCAGCCACAAGGAGATGACGGAGTGCTCATATTCCTGGCCCTCGTTGTCTCCAACCTGCGTAATACATCGAAGTCATCCGCCAGGATCAAAGCCTGCGACATTTTGCTTGCCTTCGCCGAGAGATTGTCGGATGAGGCCAAATTGGACAGGATCCTTCCATATATTATGATACTTCTGAACGACCGCACGGATAGAGTCAAGGTAGCTGCCATCCGTGCCCTCGCTCAGCTCCTGGAAATGGTTCAGGTTGTTTCACCGGTCAATGCCTACTTGTTCTCAGAGTATATCTTCCCGAGGTTGCAACCGTTTGTGCCCAGTACCAGTTTCAATCCGAGCCGACTGGTGCGAGCGACATACGCATCATGTATTGCGTCGCTTGCCCACTCATCCTTGAGGTTTTTGGACATGATCCAAGCCCTGCGTTCTGATACACGTCTTCCAGCCCTGATACCGGTTGGATCAGAGCCCAGATGGACAGAAG